GTGTATCGTCGGTGCATTAGTTATTACATTCGCGTCGGATGATCAGAATATTTCGTCGGCCTGTGGAATATTTAATCAGATTCTCGTCGGCGGCATCACGCTGATTAACGCGTGCTTCTCCGTTGTATTTGCGCGAGTGTCAGTGCGTGTCAGCGCAACGAGCGAGTGTCCGGAGTGCCACGATAGCGGAGATGCAAGAAGCTCGATTTGGAAGCCGGAATGAAGGACGAGGATTGTCGGGACGAAGGTAGTGATACATCATATATTTTCGGACGCGAAATAATTTGCAGCATATCATGATGCTTCCGATTTTAAGGAATTTTGACGAATTTATCGAGAATAAAGAGATATCTAAGTAAAAATTCCGTTATTATTTAAAAAATAATTACATGGCTTCATGAACCTCTGATTATTCGTCAGTTCCAAATAACAGTTCATAAACAGGAATCTGTAACTACTAACTATGCTTTCAAAAGTAGTAAATAATTTAAGAGATCATAGCTAATTTTAGATCGTAAATAACTAATTTTAAATTGTAATTAATTATGAATACCGGCTTTACAGTCTAATGTAAGTTTCGCAAAAGTTGATTTATGCGTCCAATATCAGCAAGGTAAGATAATAACTTATACAACATTATATCTCGAGATTCCCCCCATCGGTCCTTCAAGTTCAACGGAACTTGCAGGGTTAGTATAGAATCAAAATTTCAATACTGGTTTCGCGTTCGTAGGTATGTCCATCATCCGTTGCTACACCTGTGTCGCATCGAACGTCCGTTTCATACATAGTAAAAAAAAAACATTTTATACTTGTGTTAAAAGCGGTTCTTCTTAAGATTTTTGTGTTAAATTGTTAACATATTCGCGTGTGTTGATTTAACATATTGCGTTTAGATTATTTCAATATTTTGTGTTGAATCGATATTCAACATGTATATGATATAATTATCGATTTCATTTCCGCTCGATAAAATAAGACGGCTGGCGACTCTCTTTCATGCGCAAAACAATCGAAGGGGATCCGTTTCCAGCGAATGCGGCATCGCATTCTGCGTCCGCGCACACGGGAGTCGCGGTGAAAAATCCGCCAGCATTATACGCGTTATTGCCATTGGAATATTGACAGCCAAGATCGAAGGGGAATGAGGGGGAGAACTCAATACGGTATACCGAGCAATGTCGGTCGGAGAAAATGGCGGAAATATAAAGCTCTAATAGCCTTTGGCGGGACGGGTGTATCGATTTTCACCGTCTGGCGCATTAATCGATCGTAAATGTTGCATAAATACTTGCACGGCCACGAATCCACCGAATAGCTTCGCGCGGAATAACGCCGGCGCTCTGTCGGAATTCAATTCATCCGAGCGGGTCGCGTATAATTCAATTTAACGCGCACGGCCCGCGATGCCGATTATTTTTGCCGTTGCCGAATCATTGCCGTTTCGGTCAACAGCCGGACTGTGTTTGACGTATAACATCAAGAACGCGATCGACATGCACCGTGCCGGTCTCTCATCTTAACTAACACGGTCATTAATTAATTCGGTTAATTTATTAATTTTGCATTCTGCCGGAGAGCTTTTTGAACGTTCAGAAGACGCACCGACATAAAATGATCAGGTGATTCGTATTGTACACGTCGGTGCGAACGCGACTTGTTCATAATACATCCGTGAATGGAGATATTGACGTATTTTTCCGCCCACTTCGCGGCGAATGATGTCGTAAAATCCTCCCCCATAGATAATTTCTTGAGACCTGATTGAGATTCAATTTGATTTTCCAAAATAACGATGGATTTTAATAAAGAAGCGTATGCAGGTTCCGGTTAGAGGTGTAATGTTTCAAACAATACAATTCTAAGTGAGAAACATAAACAAATTCTATCCTTGTAGAAATTTCATGCATTTTTGAGCAATTACTGAACAGTTATATTAACTTCTGTTCAGTAACTGAGGAGTAAAACTACTTGGGATCTTAATTAAGATAACGCTTTTCCTGTAGTTACTGTGCATAACAGATGCGCAAATTCTGAACTCATTTACTGAGCGAAAACAGAATAATAAATGAACAAACGGAACAAGAAAACTACTTGATTGATTAATATTAGATAATAATATATAATTGAACAGGCGTCTACGTAAACTACACATATTTTTATCGGGAAAACTGCTTCCACTGAATCAACGATCAAGTTATTGTCCATTTCTTACGCAGTATTGCTGCAATTAAGGAGTATGCATATTAGATTGATATTAGACAGTAACTGGATGGGTGTCTAAAATTGCATATATTTCTACCAGGGTACTTGTTCATCTCCAACGTTTTCCCAAAGAATTTTTCTGTTTTCCATTTTACACTACGAGACTGAACAAAATATACGAAATACTTTTAATATTTACGCTTTACAAGTTCACACATATTCTGTATGCACGCGTTATTAAGCATTGTAACATTAAAAGTGTAACCCCGTTTATTAACCTCCTAGTCTGATATTCGATCAAACTGTCACTCGACTCGGAAACTCGCATGCCGCGATATATAACCAATTAGCATCGCGGAAAAGAGACTTCATTCCATATTTAAGATAAGAATGGAATTTTTATATCGTTGTGAACAGCGGAAAATTTCATTAGATAGAAAAACCACGGTAAATGCCGGTTTTTATTGTGCAGAACTATATTTAATGAAATAAACTGACACAAAATTATCAGTGATAATATGTGCAACACTAAAATATATTTTATATAACTTTATGCAAAAGTTATTTTTGCTTCAATTAACAACCATACTAATTGCTGTGGTTTTAAACAATGAAACTAGTATAACAAAAGTCTTTTAACCCTTTCGGTACATTTGACGAGTGAGACTCGTCATCTGTTTACTTGGGCATAAAATGTATTACTTTTACATATTAATCCATATAGCGACAAATTAAATCCGTCCCATGGGCATAAAAATCTTAAAATAATTCAGTACTCAAAGGGTTAATTAGAATTAATATAAAATATATATTTTCAAAACAAAAACTAGTTAGGGAATATTTAGCTAAATATAGCACATTTTTTCTCGCAATGTGCACACGATTATTAGTAACTCTGTCACCTTGAGACACTCGGAGACACTTTCCCGGTATCACGCACGCTCTATTAAATCCCATGCCCTCGTTTAAGGCGAAACGCTAATTGGAGCCCCGACAGTATATAAATATGCAAATACATATTTCATCGTCTCGCGCGTTCCGCCGCCGCGTCCCACAAGTAAATACGGTGCAACAATGCGATACTTGAATTATCGCGCTCGACGGACCGCCGTGCATCATCGGCTGCTTTGTTTCTCGTTTATCATGGACGCCGGGCGATCATGCCGATGTTCGCGGGCGAGCGACAAAGTGGACTACAAGTCGCGCTAATTAAAAGGGCAAGCGTATTAATAATCGCTGCTACTGATCGCATGCTAACGCGATTAGCGTCGTCGCGGTTCGGCCGGCTCGCAAGTAGGCCCGTACATATTGACACACTCGTCGAAAGGCATTTGTGCTAAATTCTCGGAGTATTTTGAATATTCAAATGCACGGACGCGCTGTGAAAGCAAAAGCCGGTCGTCGTCGGCGGGAAGGCGGGCGAACGGGCGGGCTGCGAACGGTCGCAAGTGTTTGCACACGGGGAGCTTGGAAATTGTGAACATTTTCGTGCGACTCGATCCCCGACGCTCTCTCGCGCTCGAGAGAGGATCGATACGAAGGCTACAATTAACTGGATAAAGTCCGCGGCCGGCCGGCAAATATTTCACTGACTCACGCAAAATATTTCGCCGACTCGGCCCTTTTTTCATCTCGCGACTTTCAGCGAGAATTTCACCGCTCGCGCCCCGTTACTGTACGCACAGTGGAGTTTTTCTGACCGGTCGCGCGAGTCCGTGGTGATTTCTCAAAAATTATCCATCCGCTTCATTGAGAACAACGAGGGCGCGAATGCGCGCCGGTCCATCCGATTCCACGAAAATTTTCGAGATAACGGAGGGGACACAGTGGCTCATTCCTCCATTCCGCGTGCAAACTTTTCGCGTGCAAGTTGTCGGACGACGTTGTCGTTAACTTTCCGCCAATTGGATATGGATTTTCGATATCGGGCTCTTTTGGAGAAACGTGCTCCCAATTATTTAAAGTGGCACACTCGGGATCGATAATTCGAGCTAATCGACGAAAAACGTGGAAGAAGGGAAGCCATGATGCGGTACTTCGTCTACTTTGTCGCGTAATTGTGTTCAAATGTGACAAAACGTGCTTATTTCGCAGAGGTCAGCTGAGAGGGGAAACAGAGAGGGAGAGGGGGAGAGAGAAAACGAGACACAGAGGCAAAATAGAAAAAGTCTCGGAGAGCTACCTTAAAATTCCCATAAGCAGCAGATCATTACCAAACTTTTAGTCAGCCTCGAGTCACGATATTTACGGGAAGACCAAAAAGCACGTTGTAAGCTGTTCCTCGCTATAAAATAATCCTCATTTCTTCTTCTTCTCTCTCTCTTTATCCGCTCCCTTAAATATCTCGAAACTTTTTCATTTCAACTTTTACGCAAGATCCGCTGAAATGTTATAAGACGCGTGCAGACAAGTAACTCGTCACTCTTATAGACGTTTCACGAGAAATAGCCCGGAGCGCATTATTTGACACATAATTCCATTTCCGTTCACGCGAATGCTAACGCGAGTTTCATTGTTAATTGTAACAGCAGTCGCTGTGGTGGAGAAGTTTTTCGCGTCGAGAACACGTCATTTTTTGCGCTCTGATTTTGCACTCGCTACCTGATCCGTAGTTTTGCTTCCTCTCTTCCTCCCCTCTCCCTCCCTTTTTTTGCGGTAATACCGACTGTTACGAAAGTCATACAGACCAGTACATATACATGTACGTACGTTGCAGCATCGAGCGCTGGCAACGAGCGATCGTCGGCGACATATTTCATAAAACGTGTTCGCACGCAATGAAAAAGTCGACTCACCTTGGAAAGCAGCCTCGAAGGTGGTCTTATCCTCCACGGGGTTCTGGGCGAGCACCAGGACGAGCGACAGGTATCCCAGAATGACGAAGAACCGGCAAACGCGTGGTCCAGCCATCGTTCGGCGATAAACATGCGCTGGGGTCGACGGGTCGTCCTTACTTTACTGCCGCATGCTCCAGCGAATACCGTCGATCACCACGCGGCACACGCGGCACACTGTCTCCCTCCCTCCCTCTTGATCCAGTCACTTGATTACTCGCAACTAACGCACCAGCCGAGTCAAGACGCACCGATAATCCCGAGGACACTCTCGTCACAACGCGAGAAACGGATGCGGCGATCGACCGAGAACGCGAATCCCGTTGGTGACGGCCTGTGAACGAAAATTCTCCTTACCACGGGCACACTGCCGGCGTAATTGCCACGCACGAATGAGTAACACGGGCGAAATATATGTTCGCCGATTACAAGAATAACGTGTCGAGGACGTCACGGAGAGTCGACGAAGGGATAATTTTGTCGGATCGACATTTAGCATTTTCCTACTCTCTCGCTATATATATTATACACATATGTTGTTGTATCAACGACACTACCTAGCTCGCGTATAACGGTCGCGGAAAGCAGTCAAATGTGTGATTTTTCATCGAATGTAGCCGCTCAATAATCTCGTTTTAGCGCCGGTGCTAAAAACAGGCGACGAACGTTTGAACGGGATCCGCGCGGCTCATTGAAAAATACATGAAGATACCTCGGCGGCATATTAGCCGAAATATCATTCTCGCGCTTTTGCAAAACGTCAATTGACACAGGTCGCGCGCGGCCGATTCAGTTGCAAATGGCGTGTGCGTAACAAAGTATCCGCGGCGTTTACTATTCTCGTTATATCATGGCAAATGATAGATCTCTATTTTCGCGCGATACCCGATGCAAATTTACTTGACACCGTATGCATATCAATGCGGGCATGCATATTTCCCGCGGGCTCGCACAAAGGGGTTGTTTTCTCGCCTCGTACTCCGTCTCTCTTTCTCTCTCTCCTCCCATTCTTTCCGTCTCTCTTCCTCTCTCCATCTCCCTCCCTTCCCCATTCTCCGTTCTTTTTCTTCTTTTCTCGAAATTCGCGGAGCGAAGGGACAGGATATATATATATAATCGCGTATCCTGCCGCGAGAACTCCCGAGACGCAACAGCCGCGCGAGGCACGAGATCCGACAGGATGTTCGCGTTGCGAAAAATGCGAGGCGAATTGCCGCAACAGCCGGATTAACGCGGCGACCCGTCCGGACTCGCGAATATTAACTCGCGTTTTGAATGAGATTTTTCGCTTATCGTCGTCGTCCTCCCTTCTCGTTGTCCCTTCCCATTGCAGCGACGGTNGGTGTGGGGGGGGGGGGAAGTGGATTTTACGTGGACGCGTAAGTGCGAGCGAAAGAAAAAAAGAATCCACGGCATTCCGCGGTTGAAATTAAATTTTCGGAGCATTGTCGGGGTACGTGACTTCGTTACGGGCGCGCAAGGGGACTACGTTAGGAGAGATAAGTTAATGTCGCGCGGAAATCTCATGTTTTTCGCGCCGCGTCGATTTAAATCAGCGGTTTCGAGGCGGAGCGACAAATTCTTCGCACCCGGTAAATATTTCGTCGACCCTGCGACAGTTTGTGCTCTTGATTCCGCGCACTTTGCTCGCGATGTTTCAAACGGTCTCTGTATAATTCCACGCTCTCCGCTCAGCGGATTCTTAGTCATTATCAAGCAACACATGTAAAATTCAAACTGATATTGTGAAGGTAATACAATTTCACTTCCACATGTCATTGGATGCACTCCAATCGGAAAATGCGACTTCTATTTGATGAACGCCTTCAAATACGATGTATATTGTATTATCCGCTGCAATTTAGATTTCGTAGGAATTTTCTGCACAAGTGTAACAGGGTCGGGTCGGATCAGATTAATATACGGTATCGGATAAATCTCGTTATCCGCAAATTAGAAAAAGTTGGTTCTGTAAAAAAAAAAGGGGGGGAAATACACGTATCATAATATCCAGAATTAAATGTGGCCTTCGACGAAATAAATTTTCCGCGTATAAAACTATTATTGATCGAGTAGGTAAATAATTTATAAGGAGGAGCCACAGAATATTTGTTACAGATTCTCGTGTGGAAATACGTCGGTCTCACGACGCGAGGAGAAGTTTGAGGAATCGAGATAAAAATTATATCTCGCGGGGATCTGTCTCTCGTAAAATCCGCGGAAAAGTTAAGTAATCGGTTTGTCGATCGTTTCAAGGAAGCTACATCGCCCCCGGATGCCGCCGCTTTCAGATTTCGACGAGGATCGAGGTAGACGCGAAGCTCGATATCGACTGTCGTAGCCGATAGTTGACATTTCGGCTTAAGTCACCGGCTGGTGTCGCGAAGTTGCGGTAGATAAGATTACCCTGGCAGAGCCTGGCGGTGGCCGAAATTTCCATTCTGGGGTCGCGCGATGTAAGCTGCAGTCGTAGGTAAAACACGTCGTTTACATCTATCGCACTACGCCCCGATATCTTACGAATATCGTACGATTTGTCAGTCTTTCCTCGCGGCTTTTCCCCTCGGCTCAACGTTACCTCATTTACAGGCGGGGATTCGCGAAATTAAAAAAATATCCCCGGTCGGGATATTTTTTTGTTTATCGCAAAATTCTCAACGACACACCGAATTTTATTTGCCGAAGCGATTGAATGCGGAAAAATGTGATTCGTGTGATTTTCTGGATCTCACCAATCAAATTGATTACTCGAAACGAGCACAATGACGTGTGTGCGAAATCGAATAAAAATATACTTTGTATGGACGCGAAATTAACGAGAACCAACGCGAGTGTATTAAAAGCGATACTATGAATAGTCGACAAACAAAGTTCTATTATCGAGTCAGCCATTTGTAGAGCAAAACGAGAGTCGCGGAAAATTAATTCGGAGAATCCATGAAAATAATCTGATTTATAAAAGCTGTCTACAAAAATACTATTTTTCACTCCATTTTCATGTAATTTTTATAACAAACCGATATATATTTATTTTTTTTTTAACAAATACCGGCAAGTAACAGCTTTAATACTTGGTACTGCGGAACTCGATATAGTTGAAGTTTTTTTACACTTTGCAAAAATATTGTTACACACCGTGGAATCACTTTACATACGTCACGCGCGCGCGGATGCGTGTATATATCGATAATGTAAAATACTCACGTCACACTAATCGCGGGGCTATCGCGAAATAAAAGTTTCCCGAAAACGTGGTTTATCGCACCACAATACGCAGTGAGATTTTTCCCATCTGTCTTTCCTATTTATTTATTTATTTACCCCGTCTAGATTTGGCGTGTTTACAGAGTTCGATGGAAATGCTCGGGCTGATGTTATTTAGACAGGAAATGGAGTCGTTATCCCTCGCGCTTGATATCGTAGCAATAAATCCCTTTTCTCCGCGGAGATGTGGACTCAACCGTGATTTCACAAATGACCGGATTCGCCTGTTCTCCCATTTTTTTTTTCTCGCGCGCGATAGCTTCAATTATTTATTATATTTTCGTCGTCATACCATAACGACGTGACGACGTATCCGGCATACGCCCGACGCAAATGACCCTCCGATTTGCATGTAATGATCCTAATCGTCATATTTATCGTTCGCGTGCTGAATGATTTACGTGCTAATATTCCGCAGGATAGATTGTCTCTCGAGAGAATATCTGTTATTACATTTCGTCCGTTGATTGATGAAAATATATTAATGGCTTATTCCGTTATGTTATTAGCGTACGTATATCTATTTGTGTGTACGACGACGAATGAAGCCGAACGAAATTAGCAAAAGGCATAAATTAAATATAACGTATAATTTAACTCGTGATATACGCTACTGTACCGAGTCGATACATGGATTCAGTATGCAGAGAAAATGCACGTAATATAACGCATGTATATATATATATAAGATTAAATTGATAATTTTCGGCTGCGCGCAAGGTAGTGTCGTGTGTTCTGTGCGATGTTACTGCTACTGTACGTCACGTATTACGTAAGTACGTGAGAGCGTACGTCTCTCTGCGAGTGGTAATATCACGGTTGTTCCATCAACGGTTTCAAGCACGTTTCAAGAAATTCTTCATTTGTGCAACGTACGTTTCGGCAGGATGCCGTGTGTTTATTGTGTCAATATCGAGACGATCAAAGGAGAATCGACATATAATTTCATTCCGCCGACAGAGGTGATAATTACGCGCTCACGCTGATATTTTTTCGCAGCGCGCGCGTAATAGCACAGAGAGCGTTCGCGCGTCGGGAGAAGGGGGGGGGGGGGGGGTTNGGGGGGGGGGGGGGATTTTTGAAGTACGCGACTGAGAACGGACGAGAGCTTTTTCCACGCGATACGATTCATGCTACTGCAAAAATACAATAACAAAGGGGAGAATCAAGTTGCACTACAGTGCCATTATCCGACGACTCGATGACAAACAGATTTTAACCCTTAACAAACTGGCGTCGAGCGTAATACGATACGCAGCCTAAAGCCATTTCGTGTCGCATCCGATTGAAGCAAATACTCGCCCGCGGACTCTAAATTTTACACTATTTATGTTATCGAATGTACTCGACTGTCGCGCAAATGTCGTGCGACGAAAATCGCTCCCCCGTTATTCACGTGTCTCCTTTCAAGATGTAATTTTCAACAAATGTGATGTTCCTCTCGATAAAGACGAGATGGAAATTATCGCAAAAGTGCCCGACAAAAGTGACGATTAACAGCGTTAAAATTGAATCAAATCCGTAGCAATTCCGCAGTCGAGGAATTACACGTCGCATTGTATTATCGGACGCGTTCTCCTTCAATCGTCAGATATTTCCGCGGTAATCGATCGAATTTCGAGCGAAAAGAGCATACACGTCGAGACGTTCTTTTCTTTAAAAAAGTTTCTCGCGACGGACACGGGATTCACATCGGGAAATCTTTAATGCAAGAGATATGTAGGTTACGTAGGGATTATGTAGGTTATTTGTCTTATTGGGGACTTAATTTCCCGTGTATTCGCGTATTAATAGCCTCCGCAGTGTCCAACGATTACCGGATAATCTACACGGCCGAGCGTGAAATTCGCTCCTCGGGAAAGGTCTCCGACTCACCGTTGTGGTGGTGCGAGCAACAAGCAACAACTCCGTCGGGGGGNGGGGGGGGGGGGGGGAGAGGGAGACACGATCTTCCACTACTACGTCGACTAACGATCGCGACTCGCCGAAAATCGCGCGGCGCGTGCTAATTTTGATCGATTAAAGTACGGCAGTACTGACTGTGCGATGTCGCGCGAACTCACCGTCGAAAACACAACGGTGGCGGCAGTAGTGGCGGCGACGTCGAGATTCCGCGATGCGTGCGAACACGCAACTTATCGAGCGATCGCGCGAACGCCACGGGCGAACCGAACGGCTGAATCAATAAGAGAAAAAGCGTCGCTTTCGCGATGCCCTTCGCCGAAGGGCAATGAGTGTGGTGTGTGTGTGTGTGCGCGCCGTTCGGCCGTCAATCGAACGAACTAATGAACGAACGAAAGGAGCATTGGTCGACCAACCGCGATGCCACGGAACTCGGAAGCTCCTCGCGAAGGGTTCGCGGCAACCCCCTCGCCGACACCGTTAACCCCCGCCGAGCGCGTCGCCGGCAAAGCTCCCGGCTTTCCCCCGTACCTGTCGCGCAACGCTCTCGTCTCTTTCTCTCTCTCGCTCTCTCGCTCACTGCCTCTCCCTTTCTCTTTCTTTCCGCGGAGAACCGTAGCTTTCTCCCCCGCCGGTCTCGTATCTTTCCGTGCGTGAATTTCGTCTCTCTTTCTTTACCTCGACGCGAACGACGAATGTTCGAACGAACGGACACACACGCGTCGCGGAGCGTCGCGACGGCCGTCGGTGCCGGCCGGTGTCTCCAATCGAACTGCGGGGGTAGCTCGACGGTGGCGCCGCCGAGGGACGCCACCACCACCATCGCCGCCACCGCCACCACCACCGTCGCCACCGCCGCCGTCGTCGTCGTCGTCGACGTAGTAGTAATCGTCGTCGCCCATCGCGCGGCATGCGTCATAACGCCGCCGCCACCGCCTTCGATCGGCCGCCGCCATTTTTTTGCCTGAGCCGCCGCGTTACTAACCTCCTGAAAACATTCCGCTTGGAAATGCGTGCCTTCCGATCGTGGGTGCGCGAGAGAGCGGCGCAGGAAACGTAGCGCCGCGGGATGTGAGGCTGCGTCGCGCGTGCCGTGCGGTGGCGCTGCGCTCACTTCGCGCCTCGAATCAGATTTTCCTGCCTTTCGAAAATAAGATGGAGGTGACGGCGCAGACACGGAAGGCCGGGGACCGTCTAAGGTTGCAAATCCCGCGGAATTGCAGGTAATTCATCCTCAGACCCGCACACTTGCAAGCAAGGTACTGAATCTACGCGATCTTCTAAATTCCGCGTCAGCGACAAACGGTGAGAAGAAAGAGATTAACAAGATTCCAGAATCGTGTAACTCGTCTACTTTAACCATGATTCATGCATCGTTCATATTTGATCATACATAGAAAATCAAGTAACTGAAGAATTTCGAATTTAAGCAGTGGTCTCGTGAATGGTAGTGTTTAAGAACATCGTAATTCACTTTGTATTAGTTTGACCCGTAACTATAGAGCGATGAAGTTGAAAAGTAGTTTCAACAGGAAAAAAGATGATTCTAGCGTGCGTTCGAGAAACAGTTTTTTCGACCACTGGAAAGAGGATATTTTTCGAAAATAGGTGTTTTATGGGAAAAATATTTTTGTTACAAAGGTATCAAAAATAGTTTATTTTTTTACTTACAAAATGGTAACATACATTGTTTAAAAAAATAATGCTTTGCAGGACGCAATCGTTACAGTTAGGTTATGTATTAGGTTATAAACAATATGCATGTTTCGAAAACATCTCAAAGACGTTCTTCAGATGTCTAAAAAGCGTTTTTACGACATCTTAGAGCATCTTAGTGTTACGTAGAATGCCATTTGATTTTAACAACACTATTATTGATTATTTAAAAAATACGCGTAATCACGATGCTTATTTATGTTCACACACAAATTTTCAGCAGAAAAAAATCAATTTACTTGCGGCGTCAATTTATATACCGACCGCACTCTATGGGTCTAACCGACCTTGCGTCAAATTCGAATGGCTCCCAAACGCGCTTTAATCGGCTTATCAGATTCGCACCACGTCTAACGGACAGAGCGACTCTCTAATGGGTTTTCAAGAGCGGAGAGAACTCATAGATCACGCATTTCACTTCGCCATAGTTCTTCAAACATAACTCACCGTGTTTATCTGACTCATAATTGTTCGGTCGAAGTTAAATTTGATTCAGGAAAAACTGCATCATACGCCTTCCAACTTTATATATTGATTAGTATATTATTGATTCATACATTTTCATATATTGCCATCTAGATGGCAAACCTTTCCAAAAATCTTAAGACATATTACAAATTTAACACAAAAATTGTAACACAACAATTATAAGGACCGATTTTAACACAAATACAAAATGCTTTTACTGTGTATGTAATAGAATGAAGTATGCAGTAAGACATAAGCTATAAATTAATTGACCTAACCACAGTCGATTATTCTTGAACTCTAAAATTGGCCAATTAGCTTGCTGCTTCCAGTCTTACTGCATACTTTACGCTATTATGGAACGACCTTAAAAAACGACCTGAAAAAGTAGACGTAAAGAGCAATTTTATGAAAACGTTTATTTTTAGAAAAGTACTTTTCTGTTACCTGTATGTATGTTATGCTTTACATTCATCGTGCCGTTGTACATGTATTTCCGTCACAATTCGCGATTCTTAAACTCACACGTTGACTAACCTCAACGACGTGAAATAAACTTATCGCGATATCATCGCTGGATTATCCATCGCGTGCTGGCGACTTCGGAGTTGAATCGTTGCTAAAATTCCATGACTGCTTTCTGTTGTCACAGATTGTGTCTTATCGGCGCGCATTAACCCGTTCGTCTGCACACATACGTGTGTATGTTAATTTTGCATCCCGACGTAATCGGCCGTATTTATGGTTGCGCGCATTCCGGAATATTAGAAGCAGCTCCGCGAAATTAACGGATCTTCATTCCGTTCTTCTTTAAATGAAATTATAGAATAAACACTAGCAGGGAATTCAATTAACGGAAGAGTGTATTGCGTACACAGGGTGTCTTCAACAACGCGCTGTATTCGCGTCTTTTGCGAACATCCGAAGTCGAGAGAAAGAAGTCGGGCGAACAGCGGTGCGTAAAATCAGCGCGCTCACATCTTCGGGGGAAGACGTAGAATTTATTAATCGTCTCTGTCTCGACGAGACGGCAGGATAATTAAAAGAAATCCCGTCCTTGTGTTGTGTCCGTGAAGTAATTGTCACGAGTCTCCGGTTTCCGATCGAACGACTTAAATAATTAATTCTACGGTGAAATTCCTCCCCGTGAGAAAGAAGAATCTAATGTAAATCAAGCGAAAATAGTCCGCCTGTCCGGAAAAGCAGCTTCCGGTTTATTTTGCAGCAGGAATTGCGCTCGTGTCACTGCTCGTGCCGGGAAGTTATCTCGCATTAATTATGTTTCGGTATGTCGCTATCTGAATGCTTAGAGCATAATAAAAATAACAATGGGAGGGTTCTATGTGTTACGGCGATATTAAAGGCACAAAGGTCGCGCGCACAAAGGAGCCAGGCGGCCACTTTCGCGCCTCGGACGTTAATTAATCTCGATCGTGTCCTCTGGCCGCCGAGTTTATTTGCGACACCCAGTGTATAGCGCTATGAATTTCATCAGTTTGCCGTAGAGAGCTTCCCTTTATTACTTTAGAAAACTCAAGTTCCGCGTAATCCGGTTAACAGCAGCACCTCACAGTTAATCGTGTTCAACCGGTGACCTATTCTGCAAGATCCCGGACGATAAACGGATGATCCCGGGGATAATAAAAAAGGGGGTAATCCTCACGAAAAATCTTACGGCGCGATTCACTCGACAGTACACCGGAATTTCGTTTAAGTCCTTTTCATTTAATGTATCCTTATCTCGCGATATATCAACCGACTAGAGTCTAACACGTGCGCGCACACACACACACACACACATACGTTATTCACATACACCCATGTTGAAAAATATATCGGCATACGTTGTATATTGTTCATTGCACATGAAATCAAAGTGCCTGAATCGTTCGAAAGCTAACAATTTCCACTTTATGGATAAAAACAAAAAAAATTGCCACAATGGAAAGCAATTAATTGGTTAACTGTAATTGCGTTGGAGCTTTACTCCATCGGTTTTCTTTTCATTGCATTAATTTTTTGAAAAATGCCAAAAAAAGAAACGTAGGTAAACTAATTCGAGAAATTCAATGCGCTACTTCCTCGCGTCGCGACAGAGAAACAAATTGGGCCGCACACCGGCGTACTTTTCGCCGGGAACTCGTCAAAAACTCGCTTATAAATTTGTCGCGCATTGTTCCACGCGAGCCACCCCATACGTTGCCGCACTATCAATTTATTTCCCAAGGCATGGTATAAACTCTCCCGCCTAATCCATCTTATGACTATTGACAGAGTCCAAACTCCGCGTATGTTCGTATGTGTGTATATTTATTAACAATCAATAAGGCTAACAACGTTACATTGTGCGCCATTGTTGTTGGCAACGTCGGTCCCAATCGGTCACCGAGGTGACAACCGTGCACACGGTACAACAGTTCGTTCGAAATGGTAGCAAAAATACTCGGGACGGGAAGGGGAGAGAGAGGATTGGGCGTGGTGGAGAAATGTAGGTAAAAATACTGCGAATTTTATCATATAAATAAGTATTATTGTACGTATGTAAGTAAAAAAAAAAGCACCGTTCGCTTCGCAAAGAAATTCGCCGAGCTCGCCTCGCCGAGAGTGATATAGCTGCGACTGTGTTTAATCAATCTAAATCTAACTTTATGCTTACAAAAACGCGCCCGCGCCTTCATCGACCTTCCTCGAGATCTCGTTAGGAGAGCGAATCAAGATTAAATTGATGATTCGCCAATTTTCCACGCTTCGTTAAGGACAGAAGCGATTCCGGGAATAATCGTCGGCGCTAATGCGCGGTTAAGGAAAGAAAAGCTGCATGGATTTAACAAGGCGATATCCTATTCCGGAGGAAGATTGATGAAATCGATCATTAGTTTTTCTCTTACCTTCTAAACGATTAATATTAATCTAGCGGATTAATCTAACACACGGACAATTTAAATATAAATATAAATGCGCGCGCGCGCCGTGTGTAACGTTATTGCCTATTATATCGTACTCTCAGAAATGGTTTCGATCCTCTCTCGATACGTGTCGATACAATTTACCGAGAATATTTCGCGAGACGAAATGCAATACTAGACGGCTTGCGCTTTGGTCGTTACGCTCGCATGTGAGTAATTACTGATAATCGCGTGATAACGAAAAGCGCGCACACACGTTGCCACGTGGTGACCGAGGCGTTCGTAAATGCAAGAATCAATAAAGAAGGTCGCAGATGGAGTTTACATGTGTACGAATGATCCTCGTCAGCTTATTAATTCCGCGAACGGTCGAGAAAGCGTGATAATTCATCGGATCATGAGAGAAAAAAACAAAAGAGAATGACCCATAAAAATATATTTCGCTCGAATTTATTTTAATTTTATTTCACGCTTATTCGCGCGATCTATTTCCTTTGAAGCTTATTTCACCGTGAGATATCTCATCTGCAACTTCGTCCAAGATAATTCGATTAATTTGCTTCGACTATTAACCACGTTTTCACGTTCATATATTCCTGTTCAGCTTTACCGGCTTATTGAACATCAAACAATTCCGAGATTTTGCCGACTTTCTCCGGACTTCTCTCGAAAGTAGATACCAAAGCGTCGTTACCGAAAAACAGCCGAAAATCTCTCTGTGAGGTTGAACGAATTAATTAATTAAATCACGAACTAATTAATCTCGGAAACACGAAACGTTAATCCGCATAATCGTAGAGCAACCGTGTGTGGCAAAACACGCGTACAACTATGGTTTCGGCTTCCTCCGAGTAAATTAAGAACGTTATGTACAGGAACCTATCTCTAATTACCAAATATAATCAGAACGGAGGGCGATAATGCGAACGTCATCCCGCTTTCTGTTAAATGAAAGAGAAAGAGAGAGAGAGAGTAAAAAACAATCGCGTCAGCGGCGCCGTTCGTTCTCGCTCTCGTGTGCGCGCGCGCTGCCGTGGTCCCATTTGCATCTTCGCGCGTAGGATTTGCGCATTCTTCGTGTTAATTTGCATACGGAAAGTAAAGCCGGGGAACGCGGGGTTCGGCTCGCAACGACGAGCTGCGCGTTCCCCGCGATACGAAGGCCTCCTTCGCGCTGATATCGCGCGATGACGTGTGTGCCGCGGCGATTGATTAGCGACTTCAGTAATTCGAGATGGTGTTGGTGAAGGTGGCCCACGTCTCCTCGATAGGTGCCAACACGGTGATCACCACGAGGGCCGCGACGAACGCCGCGACGACCACAAAGTACACAGCGAAAATGAACTTCCGCATGCCGGAGTGCTGCCGGATGGAAATATTCAATGAGATTTTGTTTACGCGCCGATATTTGTTTGTACACCGGATTATTTTCCGGAACGCGGTGCACCGATTCCCTCCCGCGTATACGTGTATACCATGTTATACATACGTATATCGGGGAGTTTCCCCCATTTATTTTTTTAGTTATTACCTCCGCACGCGCTCGAGTATAACGCCGGTGTGTAACGTGATCTTTATTTATTTATAAATTCCTGTAAATTTCTCCGATCAATTTTCAAGCGGGCTTCGGATTCTCAATAGATCAACAGATCGCACATTCCGTGCGACATAAAAAAGAAAGGTTATCGCTACAATTGTTAGTGAAATGGAGGAAAAATGTCACGGATATGAAATAATACAGAGATCGATACGTAATTCCTTTCGATAAATGTGAAAGCGTTTTTTCTATTTTTAACGAGGTCACGCGGAAGACACCGTGTATTCGTGAGATAAAGTCACCGACGAAAACGCGAGTGGCTATTGTTAACGGTGTCGTTCTTCCATTTCTGTCAGTCTCATTAACTTCTCAAGGCGGACCGACGGGCGCGGGAAAATTGCTCGATCACGTCACTCGTATCTTAAAGAATCTTACCGGGGCGTCCCGCCTCGCATCCAGATGCACCGTTGATACACCGTGAGAATGTAAGAATTCTTTCATCGGGAATGAATTCGCTCTCTGACTAGTTTGTCTCTCCCTGGATAGTCTGTCAGAAGCGCATCCGAGGAACTGCAACGCAAACCCGTGAAAATATCAGCAACGTCTTAATTCTAATTAGAAAGCTGGTGCCAACGCAACGACACGACCGTCATTCGGTGCGGAAGATAATTCCGCTGAACGCGATTATACTTTCGTCGAGTTCCCTTCGGAAAGCCGCATCGAAAAATTTTGCATTTCTCACTCTCAGAGAGAGAGAGAGAGAGAGAGAGAGAGAAATAGAGGGAATGTCTGAATAATTTCTGCGAGATATGTGAAAATTTGAATTTATTAATCGACTTGCGCGGATCCGTCGTCGCAAAATTCCGACGGCTGGACGTTTGCATTAATAAATTGCCCGCGGTTGAATCCCCCTGGCAATTTTTTCCCTCGGGCTTCCCGAGATCGCCGGAATTTCATGTGCAGATTTAGCAAATAAAAATTCTTACCGTGAGGATGAGGTGAATCAGAATGTGGAACACCACGTATGCGGTAAGAATCCAGTCGAACCATTCCGGGAGTTTCGCCTTGTTCAGCCGCACCGCGAAGAAAATCGCGATTACTAGAAGGGATTCCCGAAAATTGTTTACTTCATTGCGTCGTTACTTATATGCTATATGTAAAATATTTAATCATGCGAAACGCTCCCCACAATATTAAGAATATATATACCGTTAGTGAATGATAAAATCGCAAACAACATTTCACTAACTCGCTTGATAACGAAGATACGAAAAGTATCGGCACACATAGATCGCTCCGCATTATTAAATTACACGAGATCGAAATAATTGCAAGCCTCCATTCTGACGTTGTTGGCAATTTTATCGTTATTAAGCGCAACCAAACGCGATCCCACGCACGAAAATGAAAATAAGAAAACTGGGAGAATAATGGCGGATGCAGCGTAGAAAGCCTTCTCTCTCTCTCTCTCTCTGCGATATCGAACAATTCAACTCACGGCCGCAGATTTTCGCCACGTTACCGACGAACCAGTGGACCCAATTGAAGAGAGCTCTTCGCGGTGCACCAGGATGTGGTCTCATAGCCGCCATGAAGGGCTGAATAAAGCAGAGAATTGTAGTAGCCAGGCCGACAGATGCGTGTATAGTCGCGGAACTCCATGAGCCCAGCTCCACGAATATTATGACGAAGGCTGCGATCGTCATCGACCAGGTGAGCACCATGAAGAACCTGTGCCACTTGGGGAAAAATCGATAGGATTTCATTACAGCGAAAGTAACGCGAGAAAGGCGCCGGAGGAGGAAAGGGGGGAGGGGTCGCTTTCCTTTTTGTGCACAATTCGAACGCGTTAATGATGTGTACTTTGGGCGTCGAGCGAATTAAAGCGAGTTCCAGGATTTTGCTGACGACGCCGGCGCCCGAACAATGGCGGTGGAAACTCGCGCCGCTGTGGCTATTCAGTTGCGTGGATAACGATACGAAAATAAGAGAATAACAGTAATTAATAAGATAATTCTCCGCAAAACGAAGATACCCAGGGTAAACTTCGGGACTCGCTACCAAATTATCACGGGATTGATGATGGATGGCCGTTTTCCACGACCGGCCGAAAAACCGGAATCGAGAAAGTGAATTAGCGATCGCGTCTTCATTTTGCGCCGTCTCTTTTGATTGATGCCCGATGAGAGCGGATAGAAAATAGTCGACTAATTTCGAAGCAACACAAGAAGATCTAGCACGATCTTTATTATTTATTGTTGTATCTATCATTTTAATCTTTCTTTCTCTCTCTTTCTCTTTCTCTATTATCGTAGACGCGAATCGACACGTCGTGTGCGCACGCGCGCGAGAGAGAGAGAGAGAGAGAGAGAGAGAGAAAGAAACGCGCAAACATAAAATAATTTAATGCGCGAAAGCAACATTTGTTATTATGAATGGAAATAATTCAAATTGTTTCGCATGGCAAATAAAATCGTTGAAAAACATCCGGGCTTCTCTCGAGGACAGCTTTTAGCCGAACGAAGATAAGAATTTCGCTCTTTCGCTCGGTCGTCGCGATCGCATTAATTAAACGGGCTCGATGATTTCATGACCGAACAAGTTCGGGTCGTGCGGAGAATTGAATCGTTCAGTTGCGCCTGCATTTTCGTCGCGACCATACGAGGACCGGGTAAATTGAGAGACGAATCCGCAAAAATAGCTGAATAATTTCGAAAGAACGCTTAGGAAACGTCGGGTGGAATGGCGAATATACGCGTGATTGCCTGGGAAATCGCGCGCTACTTACGGCGAACCAGTGGTCCTTTCCACACAGCTGGGAATTGACCCAGGTCTGTCTGTAATATCGCGCGAGCAGCATCCCGATGGAGGCCGTGCCGATCCACGAAGCCAGCATGAGCGCGCCGTGAACGCGGATCAGTATGTCGCTGGCCGCGGTCCACTCCCCGACGTCGGACAGCTTCTTCGAGGCGCCAGTCGGGAGGTAGACGAGGTTGTGGTAGGCGACGCCGTTTGCTAAACGCCGGAAAGATTATTTATTATTATCGAAAGCCTCTGATGAATTGTACACCGACTCGTTATTTGTCATTAACTTGGAAAAATTAGGGAATCGTCATCCCCCTTTCCCTTACGCGCGAATGCAGCCTTCGTTCGCACGGCGAGAAGGAGAAAGCGAGCTTCTCCCGCGCGCGCGCATCACGAGTTACAACGTTATAAGTTTAATTAAACCCAATAAGAGGATGAAGATCTGCGAAGCGGCGAGCGGATCGATGCGAATCCATGCTTCATTCACGCCTCGCGTCCGCGTTTAAGCGGCGCGCGCACGTAAGGAAGCTATCAAATTTGCAGTTATCTCGAGCTCCCCGGCGCGAGAAAGTTGCCAAGTTTTTACGCACTTTGCTCTCTCGACGGGAGCGTGCAAGAAGTAAACTTCCCGTTACCCCCGCGAAGTTGCCAAGATTTCTTCTGTCTTTATCCGGGGAGAGGAGAGCTGGACGGCGCGAAACGCCGGCGCAGCGCCGTGAATCCCCGATATCATCGCGCGATGGGGCCCGGGCGGTGCCGTAAAATCCATTCTCGCGGCTTAGTAATTCGCGATAATCTCGACTAAACGCGACGAATTCCGCCGGCGTGGAAATCGTCGGTAATTCTTGGCGTGAGAATTGTACGTACCTCTGAGCTCCGTGCCGGCAGCCACGAGTAGGTGGTACGGAGTGTTGACGAGGTCATATTTGCGCTCGTGAACAACGGTGAGCTTGTCCCGCCGGAACTTACAGTAGATCGCGCCATCTCGGATCGCTCTGGACTCCAGCTGGACCGCGCCTTCCGGCTGAATGGACGAGATCGCGAAAGGAAACGTCAGACAGAAAGCTCATGAATCGCGTCGACTCGCGCTAGGTAGACTCGAGGATGAAGAGAAAAAAAGTGAAATCACACGTTTGACTTTTTGCGCTTCGACCAGTCTGCCGATTAACACGGCTTCTCTCTTCGCGATCTCTCCGTTTTTAACATTGGACATCTCGGCTAGTCATTCTTACGAATTCTTCGGGTGAAAATTCACTCGAGATCAACCCTTTCGTATCTCCGGTACATACACGTGCGAAAAAAATCAATTTTTACAAATATCAATATATGAACAGTTTGGCTCATTGAATTAAGGGAAGTTACTATTACTAATAAAAAATTGAAATATATATAATTTCAGTATAATTATTAATAAAAAATAGTTCGTTTCCGTCAGAAAAATAAAAATATGATTATGAAGGAGTAATAGTCACGAAAATAAGCATCTACGGGTTTCTGAGAGCTTTCTCTGATTATGAATTTCATCTCGAAATTATAAAATTCAAAATGGCACGTCCGATATGATGAGTTTGAAAAAGAAAATTTATGAATATTTATATAAATTGGTGGATTTTGTAGTTATTGATTATGAATTTGAATTTGTATATTAGCATCGTTTCTCATCGTTTCTTTTTTTTTAAGAATAAAAGAATAATATGTAACAAACTTCCACACCACTCAAGAAATTCCTTTAGATACATTAGGTCTTTTTATAATGGATTTTCGTCTAGAATTTTATATTATCGTTTACTTTATCGTTTAATTTCTATGAAATTGTCAAAAGCATTTATCGATGCAAAGAGGATATTACATTCTATATAGGTCAGTTAGTTCGTTTTTGATCTGTGTTATAGAAATGGCAACGTCGAAAATGCAATATCGAGTTTAGTAATTTTATTTTTGAAATATTTTCTCCACATGCTCTATATTATGGATTCTTTATTACAGATTTGATAATCTCGACGCAATACTTGAACCCTCAGGCTGAGTTTTGTAAATAACAAATTCAGATTCGCAATCAGCGATCTCGGAAACCCTATATAAGCAATTTATATTCTAATTCGACGAAATTTCTTGCATCCATCATATTGGATCCGCCATTCTGAATTTTACTATTTTAATTTCAGATCTGTATAGTCAGCGACCTCGAAAAATCCTTACAACAATATTAATTTTAATCTCACCCATAACAGATTTTTCTGGGGCACGAAATGGTTATAAGGACTGACGTTCGCAATATTTGCTTCTGTTTTCGAGACTTTTTCTTCCGGGCTCCCGAAAAATCTCACGGAGATACGAACGTGAAATACCCCGACCGGATTAACACGAGACTACATACAGACGCGAAACTACATTTGACGCAAGGGTAGACCGTAGTAAGAGGACGATTTACACCCGGTGCGCGGGGATATTTTTACAAGTACCCATTTCCACACGTCCACGACGTTTTACGGGCCGTATTTTTTCACGCTAACGCAATCGTCTCTCCCGCCGCGAGTGATGCGGCAAAAAATTGTGGGTCAAACGGTTAACGAGGCGGGCAGTACTACGACGGAGCGGGGCGAGGGGTAAAAATATACCCCCTCTCCCCCTCTCTTCCCCTTACGAGCACCACGGTAATTATTTGTGCGGTTCGAAGATTTACTGCATTATCGCGGCGGGAGCGACTCCGCCGGCTTTACGGTGAACGTAATAATTGGGATTTAATGGGCCAGACTCGTTCCCGACAGAGCACAGAGCGAATTAATTAGCACAAAGGCGCATCGTCGCGAAGGCTGTGCGGCATGGCATAGTAAACGATACTCACCGTCGCATGGCGCGTATTATGCTTTCCGGAATTCCAAGACATGTGTAATGCAATTTCGCCGTCCTCGTTCGCGCACTCCACCACGCTGTCGTCACCCTGCGCACCACACGGTTCGGCGACATTATTATAACTTAACTGTTACTCGATCGTTAATTCCGCGAATTACGTGCGTAATTGATTGCACGAAGCAAACGTAACGTTTCGCTCGATACCTGCCACCGTGCGTACGGCGACGCCGCGCATTGTGATTGCGGAGATAAATATTGCACGGTCCGCGGCTTTATGTAAGCCAATCTACGTAACAAAGAATACGTATACGTTGCGATATGTTTGCCTAACTATTGTATTTTAATCAGCAGTCCGGCGAGTAATTAGAGATCGCGACGTAATTCTGCCCGTAAAGATCGTCGAATTATTCCGGACACGCTTATTCTTTCCCTCTTATATTAACACATATCTCGTACGACTTCAACATGTGGACACTCGAACGGTCGTTTTACGCGATGTTTACTTAATCAAGCGTAACGCGAGTCGGGTGAGAGATTATTTAAGGTAGCTGGTCCGTGACAAAACTGTTAGAAAGGTTAGTGGTTGATACGACACGAGGGAACTCGGCAAACCTATGTTAAATGTTTATAAATGCGACTTATGTACAGCTTTGACACTGTAGCAAGAGAATATCAATCGAATTCCTTATATAATGTTCGAAAACTCATACGGAAAATATCGATTTTCGTTCTTTGACGTATAATACTTTTGGCTGAGACTACCCGTGTTTGTGCACATGTTTGTGAATATAGCATATCAAAAAGGTCGCGACTTTTTCTCTGGTAATTTTTGCAACGTATCTCGCATCCAATATATTTCTTGAGAATTGCTAAAAAACAAATTCTCCTATTGGACATGTGATACGCTCCGAGGCTTATATAAAAAGCGTTGCTACCTTTTAGTAACTAACCATACCTTTTAATGGACGCATATGAATACACGCTGCTGAAAAAGTGATTGCAACGTCGGGTTTTTCCATATTTCTCGCATATTTCTCTGCGTATTAATTATAGATCTTTAAGGTTATTTAACCATTTAACCCTTAAAAGATGTCAAGAGACACAAAGAGAAATATGGCGTATCGTATTGCCAAATCTTTAACAGGTTAGTTGTCATATATTTCAACAATTATCAGAAATTGTGTGCTTTATATATCTGTTTCTGGAAAACTAGAGAGACGATAAACGACCTTGAAATTTTGTTTATAATATTTGTACAAGTCTCTTTCATCGTCTTCCCATTTTTCATTAAAGTGAGAGTAATTTGATCGTTAGAATTAAAAACGTGATATTAAAAGCCGTTTTCATACGTGATATACAGGATGTACCTAGAACTCTACCGACGAACTTGCAAGACAGATTCCATGTTGAAAAATAAATAAAAAAGTCTTGTAAACACATGCCCACAGAAATTTGGTTTTTGGGATATAACTTTCAGAAAATGACAATGATGAAAGAAACTGTGTCGCGATAAGCGGGTTTAGAATGTTAATACAACATTTTTTTGCCTGTCTTTGAAGATAATATTTATCAATTTTGATATTTCTGAATATTAGTTGAAGAATCATTCGCTATAACGTTGACGTATATTATTACCGTTTGTCGCGAATCAAATTGAAAAATGTATTATTTCCCCTTAATCATTAATAAAAGGGGGCAGATATTTTGGACAATTTTATGACGGTACAAAAAATTTCAAAGAAAATAAATTTACGGACCAACTACTGTAATTGAACGACGAAATTAATGAATCCCCAGGAACACGAAGGGGAACCTCAACAAGTCCGGAAAGCCGGGAAAATGAAGAAGTTATTAATTTCTCGTGTAGCTCTCTCGCGGAATCGTCTCTCGCGAGGAACGATCATCTCGCGGTGGGGCCGTTCTTCGCGAAGGCGAACACGCTTCCTGCCGAAAACTAGGACGGAATAATAGAGATTCCGAAAGCGGGGGTGGAAAAACGCACACGGCACACCTCCCTTCGCCGTGCTGAATAAAATACTTCCGCGAGGATTATGCAAGTTTCCGCTTTAAATCGCGAGCGAGAAGCCCGCCGGAATACTTCGGCGCGTTCTTGCAATTACCATATTCTTGTCGTCCGACAGGCCGACGGCGACGTATTTCGCTTTTTCCCGCGCCTGCATCTCGAACAGGTATTGGTCGCCCTGCACGATCACTGCCACCGCGGCTACGCAGTCCTTGCTCTTTATGCAGCCGTCGGGCGCGCCGAAGCAATTCTTCGTGGTGTGGCAGCCCGTGTAGAACGGATCCTCCTCGACCTTCGGCTGCAACAGAGGCGAGAACGCACATCTGCGGGATGACGCGGGAATTTGCGCGCATACAGGACGGACGTACGCAGCGTCCTCACGTCCCGACCGAAAGACGGCAGATGGGAGTCAGCCGCAAAACGTGCTTCGCGTACTCTCGTCAGCGGCACTCGCTCGCTCATTAACGTGCGACTAGCTGTACAGGGTGAGCCAGTAATTATCGCATCAGGGTCGAGCGTGTAGACGTAAAATACAATAATCTGTGTCCACGCGTAGACAATGTGAATTGTGCAAAGCGGGGACAAGTCTATAGGACGAAACAAATTTATTTTGCACTTTCGACCTTTTTCTTTTTTTTTCTTTTTTTACAAGAAATCGTCTTTGTTCGATTGTATTATAAGTTTGCATAGTCCTTTATATAGTTTACATTGCCCATGCGTAGACACGGACTATTTCACACCCAAACGCTCAACCCTGGTAATAATTATTGTCTCATTCAGTGTAAGTAGAAATTTTCCCGTATCTTCGATTCAACGGTAAAAGCGGAGATTGTTTGTGTGATGTAACAATGTCACGAGGTTATCCTCGTAATCGCGAATCTCAATTTGGGGCGTCTCTGTGTAAAACGCTCGATCGTCTACGGTCGACACACGATGTCTTCGACAGATAAACCGTATCTTCGACTGAATGTTTCATCGCAATTCTCTCTCTCTCTCTCTCTCTCTGTCAAGAAGGAATTCAAGGCATCGCTGGTATACTCGCTGGTATACTCGCATCAGTGAGAAAGCACAATAAGGGAGACCTTGCCGAACAAATCACCCGCGACAATTCGCGGGTTCGTTCGCGGCTCGAACGAAAAGGAAATCCGAGGCGAGAGAGAAAGAAAAGTTTGACGACCAGCCTTCAACTTAGACACGCTCAGCGGAATCGCGCGTTCACGCTCCGGCGCTCGCGTACGCCATTACCGCTCTTTGGTGTACTTACTTACTTTTACGCTTTTTATCGAGCGATCGCGCGCCGTTTTCAAGGAGAGGGCCACCCGCACACGACAGAAACACGATTATCATTCCGCGTGGAATCGCGCCGCACATGTTGTAATCAACTCGTCCCGAAACGATTCGTCGACGAATTTCCGAGTCGCCTTCCGTCCAGCCGTCGGAAGATCCGACGATTCGACGCAGAAGAAACGCGACATCGGGAATCCGGGGGTCGCGCTGCTGCTTATCGATCATCAGCTTGTTTACGAAGGTCCGCAAAATGCAAATGAAACCTATGCATTTATAATTCGCGACGTACAACACAAACGGGGAAAGTTTTGCAGCCGTGCAAGTTGCCAGTTATTATCGCGGGGCCGCGTTCCTCCGCGCGAATTTCTCTCTCTCTCTGATTACTTGAAGCAGATTTGAATATCATACGTGGGTGGATACGCAACACGCGCGGCATGCAGAAGTTAACGACGAACGCTTCGATCCGCGCGACCGCGTGCGACGTTCCCGCGCGCGCGATAAAGATGGAACTCGCGAACCAAATGCGCGTCGTAAAAAAATCCGCGACGCGAAATCGAACGACCGCGGAAGTGAACGGTGAAAGTACATAAAGCATAAATTCCAGAACGCTGGCTGCGGTCGCGTGTTGCGCCGCGCGTTTGCACGTGTGAGGGTCGGCGCGCGTTAATAATTCATGCATCCGCGCGTCACGCGCCGATATATTCGCCTCTCTTTCGCCTTCTCCGCGTGCATCGCGAATTTCCCCCNAATTTCCCCCCCCCCCCGTTTTTTTTCTCACCCAATTTACTTTCTACGGGAGCCACACGCGCGTTACGCGAAGTGCGATGTGCGCTCGGAATATTTTTTCCCTCTCGCGTTAAGGATGTATTGCCCGTAATTTCAAATAAAGAAAAAATTATGAAAAATGTATCGAAATTCTTTCTTTAATTAACAACTGGAAATTTTGCGCGTTATTTGCAAAATGGTAAAAGACGATGTAAGCGGCAGGTAAGGTCTTTTTTGTTCATCTTCGATCCGTTTTACGCCCTCACAAAATTTGTCCCTGTTGGTCTTGGATATCTTGTGTACGTATTTAAACACTTATATACCTTTTTTTATCATCTGCGCACCTCTATTAGATCGTCTGATGCATAAAAATAGCATCGATAAGACAAATAAAAATAATAATACATTCGTCTTTGTAATATTACGTATATATGTACGTATATATGTACGTCTCAACTTCGTTTCAAATTAACATTTATTATTTAGGTAGTGAAGCGATATCTGTAGAAACGTAATTTTTCTTGATAAAAACTAAATTAATAATAAATTATGAGTGACCATTTTGATGCGCTACAAAAAATACAGCACTAAAAGGCGATGTATCCTTAATTGCTCTCATAATTTCCATTTGAACGGGGAGAAGCGCGGGAACGAGCAGATGCGCAAATTCGGATGCACACTTCGTTTTAATTGTATCGCGAAAAAATGAAGCTTCGGTGACGCGTTTAACTTTTCGATCGGGTGTTCAAGGACGCTTCGGACGCCACGTACACGCGTGTGTGTGTGTGCGTATGAGAGAGAGATAAAAGGAGAGATAGGCATTCCACTTTTAAACATTGTCGCCGGCGAGAAATTAAATAATAATCGATCCGTCGGCTAATTAAAGCCGTGAAATGAAATTTTCATATATGCATGTAATGCATACCCATTCTTGCGTGTGTCGGCACAAAGAGATATCAGAAGGGATTTCTGTTGTGTAATCTCGTTAATAGGAATTAAGAAGATCTCGTTGTTGAACGCACGGATGTATTTTCTATTAAACGCGGAATATATCGTTAGATCATCATCGGGGCGGCGCGTTTGCGTTTTAAAGAGCGCCGTATTTTTATCATTCACCCGTGCCGCATCATAATTGATATTTACCGGGTGTGAGCCACTCTTAATGAGGATATAGGAAAATTTTAATTAAACTTGAATTACACGGCGAACTGCGAAACGGAGATTTATCAGAGTGCGCTATTTTAATTTTCATTCAATAACAACAATGTGAGAAGGGGGAGGGGGGGAAGAGTGTAATCCTTTATTTAACTACGCGAGTATAGCGTACTTGGCCGACAGTTTTCATTAATTAGAGTATCGCCGCGGCAACGTTCGAATGAGAATTAAAACGCATTTTAATATCGGTTTTAATCCGCCCGTGCAAAGTGCGCGCGCGCGCGGCGGCGCAATTAATTGAAAAGGGCGAGCTATTATCTTTCAGGAAAAATTTGATAGGTTACATACCGCGCGTGTACATGTGTACTTATATATGTTGTGTGTGTGTGTGTGTGTGTGCGTAATACGTGTACAGAGAGAAACTAACGGGAGGAGATTCCCTACACGTAACGCGATCCATCACTGATAAAAAGTTAGCTTCACCCTCGTTAAAAGATCCGTCCGGGAGCCTTCCCGGATAAAGATACGAGGATATCTCGCGTACGAGAGGCCGCCGCCGCGGCACGAACTAATCAAATTCCGTGAGGACGGACTTTTCAACAAATCTGACATGCCCTTTGTACGCGATATAATCAACGAGCGTCCCTTTGTGGCCCAAGTCCAAGCAGCAGCTCGTGCGTCGTCCCACGTCGGGCGATATTCGCCGAGCAAGCCGCGCCTCTCCCGGGACCTTACCTGCCGCTTACATCGTCTAAACGCGCTGCAGCAACACACCGCGTCCCGTTGCGCGTTTACCTTCGCGAACGACGGCGATGGGAAATTATACTTACCGTATAATCGGTCGGGCTGAAGTATGGCGGCGTGGTGGTCCTGTAGGTGGTGATGGGCGTAGTTGAGGCCAATACCTCGATGGATCGCTTGAAAACGTTGACTCGGGGCGACTCGACGCCGACCCAGTACGTGCTGTAATCCTGAGCGAAGGTGGAGCTGAGAAAGAAACAATCGGCGAGGATCAGCGGTGTCGGCGTACCGCGCTGCGAAATTTACACGTTCGAAGGAACAATACCGAAGCCGGGGAGAGGGGGAGGGAAGAGGAAAAAGAGGAAAAGGGCGCAGCCTGGGTAGGTGTGTTGACTCTCGCAAGGGGAAAAATAAGGGTTCTTCGTGACCCTAGCAAGACGTTGATTTTTATTATATTATTAGAATATTTTTGAAAAATGTATTCTTGCTTATTGTTCTGTGTGATTTTATGATCTTGTGTTTTGATTAAATTGCCAGCTTAGAAATTTTCCCAGATTTTGCCATATATAGCGTAGATTCCGATTAGAATACTCAAAGTTGCCCTAAAATATGTTCTCTCATTGCGATATCAGTTGAGAATTCCATTCTTATCCCAATTGTGGAATAAGATCTCTTTTCTACGATGTTAATTGACTGTGCGCCTTGCTTCGTGCAACTGTCATTGCTAGAATTCAGTGACAATTTGGCCAAGTATCAGACTAAAAGGTTAATAAGCAGGGTTACATTTTTAATGTTACTGTGTTCAATAACGCGTGCGTGTATGTCTATGGGTGTGTATGGGTGTGTATGTGTGTGTGTAAGGTTAATATCCCAATTAGTGCCAGTGTTAATATTACAATTTGTGACAATCACATCTGTTTTTCTCAATACGTTAAATAACATAGCTCCATATTTATCCTAAAAAATGTGTTTTTATTCTAAATTTTATGTCAAAATTACATGTCATTAAATGATACTTCTGTCATGTTTAAGAAAATATCATAAATTGATTAAAATTTTATCATAAAAAGAAATCTAATACAATTAATATCCCAAATGTTGAAACTTTTGAATAAAATAAAAGTTGTTTATTTTCTTTCACTGACACATGGAATAAAAAAATAGCTTATAACTATATCGTAGATAATAATTATTAGATTGCACGCTTCTATCTTTTTCTAAAATGCAAATAATCTTTAGTGATATAATACCACATTAGTCAAAATTACATGTCATTAAATGATACTTCTGTCACGTTTAAGAAAATATCATAAATTGATTAAAATTTTATCATAAAAAGAAATTTAATACAATTAATATCCCAAATGTTGAAACTTTTGAATAAAATAAACGTTGTTTATTTTCTTTCACCGACACATGGAATAAAAAAATAGCTTATAACTATATCGTAGATAATAATTATTAGACTGCACGCTACTATCTTTTTCTAAAATACAAATAATTTTTAGTGATATAATACCACATTAATTATTTTACTGTATAATTTTGACTAGTAAAATTTATGTTCTTAAGAACGAATAGTTAAAAATTAACATTTTGATTATTAACACAAAACTTGTTAAAACTCGTTAAAACATGTTAAAACTTCAACATTTTCGCCGTATATAACGAAATGTGCCACGAATCCAAACAAAGTGGATAACCACGTGCATTCATATTTATAAGTCATGCTATCTAATGTGACGTTTCATGGCCTTTGCTCCCTCTATCTTGCCATCACAGAAGTCACGCTAACTGACCTCCACTCTCTCGTAATGTGACATAATTTTTGAATAGCCTAACACGTGTATTATTATAATAATTTATTAATTTATTTTAACGATAAGATTACTTTGTCACTAATTAGGACACTCATCTTACTTGTAAAGTGTAAACACTTAATGTGTTTTGTATATTTTGCTCAATCGTAATATAAAATGGAAACCAGGAAAATCTTTGTTAAAACATTGAAGGTGACTAAATAGGATCTATTTGCATCTCCCACTTGAAATCGTATGTTTGAAACATTACACTCCTAACCGGAGGACCTGCACAGATTTTCCAATTGGAATCCATTATTATTTTGGGAAATCGGACTGGATCCCGATTCGATTCCAAGAAACTTTCTATGCGGGTGAATGCATATTCATACATCTTTGGGTCATTTATGATCCCATCTTTCTGCTCACGACCTGCTGGTACTCCTTTCGAGGATTAAACGTGCATTAGCGATTCCGTATCGATTGTTACGGGGAAAAGTTCATGAGGAATGTCTCTCGCGTTCTCCCTCGCGCCGTTATCTCGTCATTATGCTACGATACGCTGCCTCGAATTCCAAATATGAGCCGCAAACCGCGCGTACGGTAAATACCTAATTGTGATTCATAAGTGTGACACATCGCTCCGGTGTGTTTACGTCCATATTGTCTGTGTGTGCACGTATGTGTTCATGTGTTGTATGCGCGAGAGGGCTGAATGAGTGTGCGTGACCTGAGTCGCGCGACGGTTGAGATCAGTCGCGGGAATCGTGACTCAACAATTAAGCCGTTTCCGGACGCTGACGTTTCTTGTTTCAGGATTTTACAGGTGTCCCGAAACTTAGCGATCTCCCCGAGCGAGCGCTCACGGGAATAACAAGCAGATACTCTACTCTCGCTCGCGGCCTCTTCAGGCGCGGTAAGAAATATCTGAATGCACGACGAAGATAATTAATCCGTTTAGGGCGCGGCGCGCGCCGAAGGACCGCAATCGAATTAAGCGCGAGAATCGCGGAGCGAGATATAAATTTCACGCCGAAAATTAGCGGGTAAGCCATTGCGACTCTGCTTGAAATGCAAAATGGCCCGAAAGTTCACGTCGACCGGCTCCGTTTTATGTAAGAGGATGACGGCGGAGCGAAGGAATCCCGCCTGCGCGTAGGATTCACTCAACGCTCACTTCCCTCCGGTGCTGAATCGCGCGTGATTCTCGTAACGAGTTATCGTTGTTACTTACTTGAAGATAATAGTACCCTCGTAATCGACCGGAGCCTTCCAGTCCAACTCAAGATTCTGCTTCTTGTTGGTGTTCGTATGAGTCACGGCGTTCTAAACACACGAGAAACAGGGAAAAATTCCTTCGGATGGGAAGTCGCGCTGTCATTAGATTATTCACGAGAGATAACCCGATGAATGACTCGATCTCGGGGAAACGACGGGGGGAATCGCTTTTCGCGCAAAAATCGTTTATCGTATATCACGCGAATATATATCGGCGTATTCATACGAAGCCGCGGGACATGTTGCGACTCGCGATTAACGATAAAAAACCCCGCGACGAATCTCCCGACACGCCGGGAGCTCGGCGATCCCATTTCCTCTCTTCTTCGAAATTTCGGAGAATTCATCTACAACTTGAGACCGTTTTAAACGGTGGACGGGTAAAGGCTCGAAATTCTTAAGAGAGCGAGTTAAACCACCTTTTCACCGGAGAGAACTATCCGGTTCTTTGCGCGGAGAAATATCCGCTCTTTTTATCTCGCGAGCGCGAAACCCTAGAAACGTTATATCCCCGCGGAACTAATCAGTTTTAAAGATGAGAACGAGAAAGAGAGAGAGAGAGAGAGTCGCGAGACCCGGCTGGAATAATCGAGTTAACCGTGAAAGTAACACCTTGACGCTGAAGTAACACTATAGGTCTCCTAGGCCTGCATCGCGAAAAAATAATTTATGCATTTTTTCTTGGTCTTTTATGAATTACATAAATTTAGCTTTTCTCAGCAGTAGAATGCTATTTTTCTCTGTGCAGTTGTCACACGGGCAGCATCCAACTTTTTTTTTCTGAGTAATAGAGGAATAGAAGTGTAGCGTGGCATCTTGTACGAAAAACATTTTGGAAAAAAGAAGGAAAGCGAAGGAAAACGCGTGTAGGCCCCGTGGGCCTAACATGTTACTGTCAGGATCAAAGCAAAAAGGATCACACGTCCATGTGACGTACCTGCACGCCCTGCGTACACTCGACGAATTTCGCGGAATCGGGCAGATTCGCGAATTCGCCGATGTAATCGCCGGTTTCGATGTCCCTGGCGAATATCATGAAGCCCTCGTACGCGAGCCCCTGGGGACTGCCGAGTATCAGCCGGACCCTGCCCTGTCCGGCTGCGGGTAGCACCTGATAAGGTAGGTATGACGACTGAGGGGAGATGCCGGGGTGGTGCGGCATCAGATCCGAGCATGTCTCCGGCGGTGCTCCGTTGGGTAACCCGAGCACCTTCGCGAGCACACCGATAGTCAGCAGAAGCAGCGTCCTCGACATGTCTGTAACGGAAAAGGCGCGCCGCGAAGACGCCTGTTGAACAAACGCAAACACCGAGTACACGTTACATCGTTGACGCACAAGTTGTTCCGCCACTGTCACGTCATCCTCGTTACTTGAGTGGGTTTCTCGGCCAATCTAGAAGCCATTCGTCCTTATCAAGAATGTCGAAACAATCTTGATCACGGAGATATTAATCGTCTATTTTACAGCGCTTCCAGACCGTCTCAAGATTTTTAATTCCACTTAATTATAAAGATCACGACAGGAAGTTGCGATAAATAACGGTCTCTCGGGATATTTCTGGCGAGACGGAATTGACCGCAATTTGGCCGGGCCCGACATTTTAAAATAAATTTTCGCGCGAATTATTTTACGCTCGCGTTAATTTTATTGCAAAACTCATTATATTACGACAAAATGGATATGAAATTATTCACTCGTCTTTCTCTATATATTTGCAATGTAATAATTAAATTTATTTTATTATTCATATCATTTACTTATAAGTAAATTTATTATGCGTTATATGTACTTATAAGTAATTTATTATTATTACTTCTCGGTCTTATATGAATTATACATACATATATATATGTAGCACGAGTAATTACTTTACATTGCTGTGTGACATTCGTGTCGTGTAATTCCACGTTGCTGGATTTCGAACGTTCGAGTTGCTCTTAGCGTCGGATTTGCAATTTGCTTTATTGCATATGTCGACGTGTTTCGCATCAGTAAATGCCAGAGAGAGGGAGAACGAGAAAGAGAGAGAGAGAGAGAGAGAGGGAGAGAGAGAGGGGATGGATGAATTACCGCGATATCAATTGCGGACTCTTTTTCGCCGGGGATAATCACAGACGATCGAGAAATATTTAGATGAGACCCGGTGCACTTGTTTCAACGCGACGCAGACACCACGGCGGAGCTATTTAATCGACCGTTCGCGTCGCTGTCGAATTTATCCGGTGTGACGTGAAAACGGGAGTATGCATCGGACATGTTCACTGTCGCTTGTCGTGTCTTATCCGCAATAGTCGCGTGCGATCGGACGCGATGTTGTAACAGTACTACATAAATTTCCACTTCAATGCCCAGCATTTACACGAGTATAACTGATGAACGGCCACGCGGGCATTGCGGAAAACGATGACTCGATTGATCTTTATTTATGAGCGATGATCATAATTTTATGCGACCTATCCTCCCGGCAAGGATACCGGCTACGGCTATTCTTGAACATTCCTTGCGACGTTTGTCGCAGATACTGCAATATCTAGAATTCCGATAATCGTTATTTGCGATGCGTACTATTAAAATATTGATACGAGATATAAGGTGAGTCGTGTGCTTATCGTACATGTAAGCCACGAAAAATACCATGTAATATGTTCGTACATTAATATTCCCTTTCAGGGACAATAATCCGTCTCGACGTTGCGTGATTCGTTCTTAACAGCCGGTAATAAAACGGTCTGATAATCGCCACAAGGAGACATAATTGCCATTATTATGCGAATATAATATAAAATAAACACATAAATTTTTCAACGAAACATCACCATCGTAAAAGCTAGAAATTTATTGGCTACTACGTTACTTACAAGATCTGATTACGAATATCACTCATAATGAGGTCTGATTAGAATTTAATTCTGGAAAAGCTCATTTTAAAAAAGAAAATCCGCCATTTCAATTTTCAAACAATTCCAAAAAACATGCTAGAACGAAAATCAGTTGAAACGTGATTTTCGCACTTCGGTTGACACTCAGACAAGCTAGCATTATTTAGAGCCCAGAAACAAAATGACACATCGGTCACGACACTTTTCCTCTACTCTCATCGGGCGTTCGCGGATACGTAATTATTCGCGACTGTAATGAGTCGCGGACAAATCGCGGAGAGAGAGGCTGCCGGTCGGCGATAAGCTGCTAATAGGGCCTTCATTATATACATATTATAACGCCGGGGCTTAATTGTCCGGTCATGCGAGGCATCGTATCGATGTGTAACGAGAGAGCCCGCTATATCGAGGCATTAATGAGCGGCCGGGCGCGCAAGGAGTGAATGACTCCGAGAAGGCAACGGCGGGCGCGCTCGTGGCCGCAGCCCACGCCTGAAAGAGCTGACTTTCACCTATTGAGAGTTTAACTCCCGCGAGTTCCTTACCTCGCGCATTCCTCAGCGCCCCGTCGCTACCGAAGTATTTCCCCATGCACGTGTTACGTAACCCCCGGCGGACCGACTGACCCTCGCCATTGAAATGCCACCACCACCGCGGCGCAACCGTGACGCTGGTCCGTTTTGCGACGTTTCCTCGTGCAACCTCTCGCAGAGGTCGAAAAATAGCGCGTTTCGCAACGTGTATCGCCTTATCTATCTCGCCTTGCGACGCGAGTCGTAATTCTCTATGGAGTTGCGACATTCTTCCGAGATAGCGGCGAAGGTCCCGCCGGAAAGTGTAACAACGCCGGTCGGCCGTGTTATTGACACGAATTTAGCTCCGTGTTTCCCGACAGCGTACGCGCTTCAGCGGGAAATCGAGCTGCTTAGTCAGCGATAATAATCGGTACAGTTTTTCTTTTCACGCGACTTCCATGAATCCCTGCGCAACTGCGAGATCGACGGCTGCGTTATCCGTAGCAAGGTCGATTTTACTCGGACGATATTCGCTGAGCCGCATCGCTCAATGACGGCACACGTGCTCGGAACTCTGCCCGTTCGAGATATTCCCTGCCAGTACTGCGAATCTCTGCAGTCTGTCTTGCGCGTTCCATAGATTCGAAGTGCTGGCAGTGAATACCGATAAACGCACTTTAGCGTTCGCCGTATCTGAGAAACGTTATTGCAAAAGGTCTCTATTACTAAAACACCCTTATTATCTTATTGTCACGGACGGTAAATAAGGCGAGCAGGTGAGGAAGGTACGATCGCGCCTTTGGGAATTCAACCGGCGATTTTTCAACGCCGACTTACACGTCGACGCGTAATAATAACCGGCGAATCAAGAATGGAGATTGGAGAATTCTGGCTAATCAGCGTGGCAACATAGTTTCACAATAACGTAATACACAGCCAGGGAACAGCGGTATGACGCTCTATCGCAAAATAAACTCGCGATGTAACTTCGCAATGAGCCTCCGAATGAGATCTTCTATCGGAAATTTAAATTTGCAACATTGCGATTTAAACAATCGGAAAACAGGCGTTTTCCCGCGATAATATATTACGTTAGTGACAAAAATCTACTGACAAATCGGAAAAACCATAAATCCTCTTCTCTTTCTCTCTCTTTTTTTTCCTTTTTTTTTTTTTTCAATAGAACAGCTATCGGGAAATACTGGAATTGAAAATAGCGCGTATTACGTATGTTATTTTTAATTTCGCCGTAATATTTATATTCCGTTTCGCGCATCGCGGGACAAGGGCGACGCGCAGACGTAATAACCGATAATTGCAAAGGACATTTACAAAGAATACAATTATCTCTCGACAATGCGGCAATCATGGGCGAGTTACCGTGAGAGTCCGCTGTACAAGATCAATATTGCAGATGCACTCGAAATTTCTCTCGGACGGAGCCTGCAATTTGCAAACCGCTGCGGCTGCCACGTACACGCGCGCCTCGCGTGTGAATCCGTCGGTCGAAGCGCGAGCGCGCATACACACACACATACACACACATCCATCCATTCATATGCGCAGAGACACCCACTTGCAACTCCAGTTGTACGTACGCGCACCGAGAAACCGGGACGATCGTTTTTCCCGCTGTAAAAGTTACGAGAACTACGACGACTACCGCGTTGGAAATCCAGCAGGCGTGTTGTACGCGACAGATCGGCGGGGAATTAAGTCCGCGATAATCACGTGCGTGCCTAGCATTATCATATATCATTATCCATTGTGCCGAATGGGCACAAGGCTTTGTTTCGCGTTTACAGCGCGAGCGAGCGCGCGCGCACGCGCGCGTGTGTGACTCACCTGCGGCGTGCGGCACCTCGCGCGAACGCACACGCGTAAACGCATAACGCCCCCGTCGATGCTCCCGCGCATCCGCAGGTGGACTGCACTTTTCCTCCTGCGCGATCCTTTGTAAACGCGCCGGGGATTCCCAGCGCGACCGCCGAGCGTCGAACCGATGATTATTTATTACGCGCGCGCACGATAAACGGGGATTAATCGCCGTCGTACGGATTGCTTACCCCGTTAATTAATTGCGATATTACTCTATACCCTCGTTATCGGTCGTGCGTACGTTCCATCCTGGAACGCCATATTGGGATTCGAATGTAAACCCCCTGGAAAACGCTGCAAATTTCTCGCCGCGTGCTTTCGAAAAAGATTAACATCCCGTGCGTTTCCTTTGCGGAAATACTAATGTTTCTCACTTCAACGTTCTCCCTTGATATTCCGATCATCTCGAACAAGATCGAGATGAAAGTTAAGAGATTTAAATCGAAATTCTCTAGGAATCTCTCGCTACGCGTTTTTGAAAAAAAAAAAATCGACATTTTATGTTTTTTCTCGAGATTGCATTTGAAGGGATGCCAAAACAACGATTTTTCCCTCACGTTCTAACGTCCTCCTGATGTCGATGGATCCTTACTTTCTCGAAGAAAGTCAAGATAAAAGCAGAGATCGAAATTTGGAAAAATTCGACGAACTTTTCGCTGCGCGATCTTGGAAAAAAGCCAACATCGCAACGCGGTTTCCTTCGGATGGCACTTGAAGAAATAACTGAGACAACGTGTTTCTTGCTTGGAATTCCGATCTTCTCGTACCGAAAAGTGCCGCAATGAAAATAGAACGGAAGCGGCGAGCGATCGAATGGTCGCCGTCTCGAGAAAGCAATAGATATTAGGCGATCGTTCATTACCTCAGATCGTGGAGTAACGTTTGAGAGTTCGACACTCCAGACGCGTGGCGTTTGTGGGTCTATGCCGAAACGTTAATCACTCTCCCAGCCGGCGGAATCACGCCAGGGCGCGTCAGTTTTTCTATCTCGCGTGGATACCGCGCGCACGCTTCGTCTCGCGGGTGAAAGTTGCGCCGTGGTGAATTTTCTTACTATTACTGTACGGTGTACGTCCGCGACTTGACAGCGTTTAGCGCTCGCGTCATTCGTGAAAGCCAACGCGAGTAAGCTCCGCGTTTATTACTTAACGCAGGCGCATTATCGTTTACGCAAACAGTTCGTTCGAGCTCTTCTTATCGCGCAGTCGAGAAAAGCGGCTTCATTTGCCAAACAAATAGAAATCAGCTGTGATAGTAGTAGCGCGTCTCGCGCGCCTCGCAACGGCAGCTCAAGTTAAGACGTAGAGGGGGATCTTCCGTAATTCGGTCGCACGCGTTATTAATTATCTTTTGCCTCCTCTGCCGCGGTTTCTCTCGACGTTCCTCTTGTCCCGCGCACTTGCTCTCTGCAACGACTGGATCGTTCGTATTTTGCTCCTGCGACGTGTTCAACGCGAGAAATCCTAGGCGTCGCTCCTCCATTACGCAACACGATCCTCACGCGCTTGCACTTTCGCGCGCGGGCACCGATTGTGCGTTTCGTTTGCTGTCAGCAGATCGTAATTCATCCGCCAGGTTCAATATCACGGACCGGCGACGTACATGCTATCCGTCGGGCCCGGTATAGTCGACTCGATTACGTCACTTGGAGTAAAAAGCGTCGCGTAAATACATAATTATATGATAAGAGTAACATTGAGAGAAAGAGAGAGAGAGAGAGAGATAATATTCCGATATTAATATTGAATATTCCACGAAATGCGAAGTGAGTGGCGGAGAATATCTCGTTAATTGTCGTCGCAAATGTGCGTTCGGACGCGCCCACCATGCGCGGGCGCACCTTAATTATTAAGGAAGGTTCATGCGATCACGGAAATGTAATTTAACAGCGGGGAATCGAATTTTATTGATTTTAATTTTATTGCGCGCGAAACGCCCGGATAGAGTCGCGCGATACACGGAATGTGCACGGAAATGTATTGAAAGAGTGCCACACATATTTCAAGCTCGTGTTTATTTATTTCCTCCCCTCCCCCTTTTTATTGAGGGGCGACTCCCCTTGTCGATGAAGTTGTCAATCAGTAGGGAACAAATTGCGCCGACCATCGATTCATCTCCCTCGTGCTTTTATTACGTCGATCACTTTGTTTACCTCATTCAGCGGATCGCCGGTCTTCCCTAGAATCGAGATAATAAGTTCTCCGCCGCGATAAACCCGCAATGCAGTTCGCGGCCGCGACTCCTCCGAGTTGAACGCGCCACGTCGTCGCACAACCGGGCGCATTCACGGACGCGCGCGGTATCTCCGAATGAATAATTGCATTCGTACGGGCTTCGCAAGTTCCTCTACCCGCGCCGAATATCATCGGAACCGACAAAGTATCGGCCGTCCTCGTCGCGCTCGTGTGTTTGGCGAACGCATCGCCATGGTAACGTCGTCCCCGTTGTCCTAGAATTTCCACGGCGGGCATTACTCTCGCGTCGGTACCGCCGAACCGCAAATTATTTTATCGGTTACGTAAACCAGAACCGCGCGGTGAGTAAGAATTCCGAGGTGAGGCCATTCATCGCTCCCGTAATATTCTTAACAGTCTCTTCCTTCCTCTTCGTCGCCCTTAATGAGCGTTACCCGTTTGCCCATCGATCCCGGTTCCAATTGTTTCGCCCGTGTCTTTCGCCAGTTGGAGGCCGTCAATTGGGACGACCCCACCTGTCCAAGGCTGGAAACGGCGAACGTGACGCCACCGATTCGCGAGATCCTACCGTGGTGGCGCGATGTCCTTGTGAACGAGTCGGTTGTCCTTCGGAAACTCAACGCGCACAATCGAATTTCGCAGGAGGCCTCGAGAGAACCTCGCAAAGATACACGGAGAAAAATAACGATTTTACCGCGAAGGAAAACGATTACTCAGCTTATTTTTCTTCTATTGAAAACAACGGTTATCTCGAACAAAGAATATTTTCCTGATAAATAGTATTGAAAGATATTCATCGCAAATATTACGAAAGTTCACATTATTATTTATTCAAAAGATGAATCTGTTTTCTTCTTAGGAATATTATAAATTTTATCGAGGAAATGTTAAATTTGGTTAATTCGAATAAGAAAATCGGAGTTTTAGTTTCAGTGTTTTAATTTAATATTCTTGACTGAAGTATTAAGCTTTTTAGATTCAGAATGTATTTTGAATTAATTTGACGGTTCGCGATGAACTCACCATATCTACTTGCAGATGTATAAACTTATGAAATATCTGGAACGGGTAATATTTACTTGAATGCGGTATGTATTTTTCTGTGTGTAGGCGAAACCATGTGAAAAACGCGTTGAATTCTGCCTTCTGAATTCACAAATCGGTCCTCCTGACGCCGTGGTCCTTGAAACTTTTATAGCCGCTCCACGATTTACTCTTAATTGGACGTGTTATCATTGAATGAAAGCGAATTTGCATTTGTGATGATTTCGATAGGTTTTTTTTCCTCACGTAAGTTTTTTTCCTCACGTAGGTTTTTTTTACCTCACGTAAGAGAGTGAAACGAACCGACCGTCTCTTCTTAGGAGAGAGGATCCTTCGTCGCACGTATCTGCGGAATATATCGTCTCAGATCGCTGAAACGGGTCATCAGTGACGGCATATCACCTCTCGGAAATAACCAACTCGTTTCATAATTAATGTCGCACCAATCCAGCCGGTAAAATCCAACATTGAGCAATCCCATGTATTATTAATAACGAAATGAAATAGAGTGCACCCACATAAAGAAAAATTACAGTTATTTTCAGTCTCAACTATACCCTTTTTATGGTTTTACATCACAAAAATAGTAGTAACAAAATGCATGTAAGATTATTACAGAACGTATTAAGAAGGTATTTACTAGAATTATGTAATATTTCTTTCCCCCAAAGAAACCTGTGGTGGTTTTAAATATAGATATTTTCTGTCTAATAAATCTTTTCTCTAAAAATGCATTCCGATATTCTCAATATTATGAACTTAATATTTGTCGCAATTGTTTCAACTTTAACTAAATATCCACTTGTACGAAAACATCATATTATGTATGTAATCAATTACATTTCTACTTCTGGTAAATATTTGCCAATGGATATTAGAGTAATCGTTTACTTGAGTCAAGTAAATATCACTCGAACGGTGACACTTTTCTTCAGCGTGACACTTGTTGGAAAGATGATTCTCCAGAAACTGTAACTCTTTCGCTGTGACGATTGCAGTTACAAATATCAGACATTTTTCTCTCGATGCACGCGATAAACATATATATATATATATATATATATTCGCCTCATCGATCAACCCACATTCACTTCAATCGCTCGACTGCCGCTCGGCCGTTCAACGTGCACCATCAGGAAGAATCTAGGAGCCGATTTCTCCAAAGTCGATTAACTTCAACCGTAATCCAATTCCTCCGATCCCTCTCCCTTTCTCTTTCGCGAAATTCGGTCTCTGGAAGAAGATGGAGAGACAATTGCACCACGATTAAAGTTAATCGACGTCGGAGAGGAATCAGCCCCGGAGCGATCGAAGGGAGAACTCGGATCTAGCGGATCCACTCGATCCCGGCGCTTATCGTTGCCGAGGATCGCGTTCCCACCGACCGCGACACACAATGACCCGGATTAAAGAAAAGCTGGCTAGTAAATCCTTCCAAATTTATGTCACACTCGCGAACGCCAAAAAAATAACGGATTTATGCTCACACGCGCGCGCGCATTTCGCCGTTGTTTTCAATAAAATATACAAATAACGAAAAAGGATTCTCTCCGGCTTCCATTGCGCGCGTGTATATACGCAACAAGACAAAAAAAGCGCGCAGGAGTAACGATACACAGCGGATGTACAAATCGGTCGCGAGATTAATCTCGGTGCGAAGAAAAGGAAGTGCGACTCATCGTCACGTTTACACTTAGAATTCTGAAACAGGCAGGAAATGGCGGTTGAATTTCTTATGAGTATTTTCCACGAGCTCTCCGCGAGGCTATTTTATGAATTTTAAAACGTCTATCTAACGCGTATCTCGCATTTCGAGGGCGCGTCTCAATTTTTATATTCCGCACAATCGGCGAATAATTATAAATCTTGGAGAGCACGCGAGCGATCTTTAAGCTTTAAATATAAATGACGCGCGCATTTCATGACGCTAGTATGCTTTTCGCATCTCAGCCGATTACACGGCAAAAATCCGATTCTTTGAATTTCTGTTGTCTTTGAGCCATACAAAAACTCGGGGCTTGCAGGAATGGGAAAGATTCCCGCTCGGCCAATCGGATTCTCAGGTAACTCCGACCGAGTTTTCACACAGGCAAATGTTCGGGCGAGTATTTCCGGCTGTAGTAACGGAGATACGATTTCTCGCCATCGGGTTTTCGTGCCTGTTACCATTCCGTCATGCGAGATTTTTTTTTTGCGTAATCGGCTAAAATCGGCCGTGCAGTCATAATACCATAAAACGCATAATGCACTTGGTCGTCCGCACGTTATTACACAAAAATGTGCGGTACCGATGTAGCTTGACGTACAAAATACGTCATCAAATATGCAGATTACGTTCATATTTCCGTAATATTATACACGCGTGGATACATTTGCCATTATGCAGTTTAAATTTATTTATCGAGTAGCGTGCGAGTACGTCGAAAAGTGGATTATTCAAATGGCCTGCTGCAAATTCTAATGGAAAGCAGGTATTAATATTTCCGACCACGTTTTTACCGATCTCCGCGTATCTCGCGATACAGTGTACACCAATAAGCATTGCTGCGCGCTATTACCGAAAACCGGATCTTTTCTATGTGTGAATGTGTACAAATTCAGAGAGCTGGAGATTGGACCCGGCGACATCGGTGATACAATTTCGCGATGATACTATTTACTTGCAACGTGAATCCATGAGTCATTGCTTGCGCGTTGACTTCAAGGTCCGCGCGTTTACACGCTACCCGAGAGAGAGGGAGGAAAGGGAGAGCTTTCATTTACCCCAGGGACTTCGACATTTCGGCTGTCCCGCGAAGCGGAAACCCGCATCGGGGCCGTCCGAAAATGCATCATCAAAGTTTCACACGCCTCGCGGAAAATGGAGCGCGGCTCGGAAGAGGATTGTATAATTCCGCTCGTAAATAAACAAACGCCGCCGATTGGCCGACCGATGCGATCAATTTCACTCGCGGCGCTCATACCCCGCGAAATCATTTCCCTGCGAATGAATGTTCCTCATAGCTGAAATCGGGAAATGGAAGCCGCCGGGAGACGAAATTCGCGCGCGCGGTCTCCCGGCAGGCACTCGTGCGATCGCACTCACCGCCGATCCGTGCTCCTCCGCCGATCCTGCTGGAAAACGTGGTCCTTGCACCACCGCACGCTAAACACGCGCGGGCGGTCACGTGTACGTGCGGCGTCCTCGAATTGCAACGCAGATCCCGCGCCCGTCGATCCTCGGGCGCCGGTCTCAAGCGTCGCACATGGATCGAGATCCGGCCGGCTCTCTTCGTCCTTGCCGGGAACGACGGTCCGAGCGCGTCCGTGATTCGAATCGGCGTCCTGCTCCGCTCGTCCGTTCGAGAGCTCGATGGTAATCGCGCACGCTCCGCACGTACGGCTCCTACACGCACGGCCGCCTTATCCTCGCGCGACTCCTCGACGAGGAGGATCGAGTACGACTAGCGACGCGCTCGCTCGATCGTTTCGCGTACGTAGATCCCGCGCGGCGACACTTGTTGATCCCGCGGCGGCATACTTCCGCGCGGACAGCGGCGAGAACCACACCTTGCGAGAGACTGTACGAGAAATACAGGCCGAGTTGAAAGGCCCTCGGCCGTGAGACCAGCTCAGGCCTGTAACTACCAGCTGGTGGCGTGACCAGCCGCGCGATTGATACCGCCGATTATTAACGCGAATTTCACGGATATCCTCCAACGTCTCGTTCTCGCGCGGGATTCGGCTCGCCTGGCCGCTCGCAAACTGCCGTCCCGATTCGCCTTCTTCGATGGACCGTGTTCGTAACACGTCGCTTCTTTGCTCTGCAAGACGGATAGTGGGGTCCGCTTTCCCGCACATTTTCCTCGAGATCTCTCCTCCCGTCTCCTCGCTTGCCTCGCTACGTGCGCTTATTTCATTTCGAGTGCTGCAGGTACAGCGAGTGAGAAAATGGTGCTCGACGTCTCACGTCCAGAACGTCCTGTCACATCAACGCCCGATGGCGGCTCTCCCGGCGAAATTAGAGTCGACTTTTCTTCACGGAAAACGCCGGATTCGCTGGTGCTCGGAGTAAACTGCTAACTGACGACTAAAAGTTTAAGGGGCTTCTCTCGAGGGCAGGTAGCAAAATCCGCGTCCTTCGGCCAATGTCGAGCGGGGATCGACTTTGTATCGAACGAAATTTTCAGTCGCAAAGGTATGGTAATTATTCAGAATTGAAAAGCCGCGTTTCAAAACGATCTCCTACGATATTTCGCTCGAAATCCAACCCGATCAGAGAATTAACTGCTAATTAATTGCCGTTGGTGTGCTCATAGTTGGATAATTTCGCGCGTACTTCAGGTTGTGTTAAAATCGGCGGAATTTCGCGATATCATTTATACCGACAGACTCCTCTCTCTCTCTCTCTCTTTCTTTCTCTCGTTCAAGACACCCGCGTTTAAGCCGGCACTGAAATTCGCCAAGAGAGAGGGACTAACGACTGTGCCACCAAAACGGTACGACGGGACGTACCGTACGTTCACCACTCGTCGTTCGCCAGTCGTCGTTCACCTGAGTTTTATCGACGTATTTTTGTCATTCTCCCTCGCGTTCTGCCTCGCATACCGCCGGCCCCTCGTCGACTACAATCGCAAGAAACGTGAATGGTGCAGGACGAATTAGGTGCCGCATCGATCTCGCGAGGACGACGCTCGAACGAGGAATACGAATTCATTTTCTCTTGTAAGACTCTCCATTCGATCTGTAAAGTTACATCATTAAGGACCCAGCCGAACATTATGACATTATGACAATGTCGGGAAAGA